GCGTGTGTGTGTGTGGTTGGACCGGAAGGGGAAAATGGGCCGCCAAACCATCATGAATTCAGACCTGCACTCACTCTCGTGGTTTCTGTCTTTTTGTTGTGCCGTTTGTATCATACGTACCCTTCACCCAGTTTCTCCAGAACATCAAAGACCTCCTCAGGCTGTCTGGTGAGATTGTCTTCACTCAGCTTCTTCAGCTGTCTGGACAGGAACAACAAGAGATTCCAGAGAAGCAAAGAAGGCAGTTGTTAATAGAGATTGGTTTGTTGGACGGACGGACGGACAGACAGACAGACAGAACTTTATTCATCCCTCGTGAGTCCCCTTTAGGAAATTAAGGCAAATGGAAAAGGATGGAAAAGTAAAAATTAAAAGACATCTCTAACACGAACATACAGAGAGACAGAGTGGGAGAGGGAGAGAGAGGCAGAGAGCAAGAGAGAAAGAGAGAGCAGCAGAAAACACTAAACAACTCTCACTGTAACCCAAAAACCATCCACTGAACCTGGGTTGGTACCAGAGATCATATGCATTTCCACAGAAGGAATTAATACCAGGGAGGATGTGTTCTGACTTAAAACAAATTAGTAAAGAACAGTATCATAACTACATATGCATTTCCAACACAGGAACTAATTACATTATTAATGAACAGTACTGTGAACAATGTCTATGTGGTTTTTCACAGTACTAATTGGAGGGCTGCATTACAGGCACAAATAAGATGAACTATAAACAATTGTAGGAATGAGTATCAGAAACGATGTAGCAATCACTTTTCAAACTATGTGTTTCCACCTGATGAACGGTCCCAGAAACCTTTGACAGCACCAGTGTTATGACAGAGTTATCAGGTGTCAGTGTCCAGTACCTGCGGGGATGGTTCCTCATCTGGACTTTGTCCTTGTTCTCCATCCTGTCCGCGTCTTCTTCCTATCCAACCTCCTTCTCTCTGTTTGTCTCTTGGTGTCTTTTCCTCCCTCCTTCCTACTGTTCTTCTGTGTCAGTCCAAACTTCAACGATTCAAACTCTAACCGCTAACAGTTAGCAGCAGCAGCTAACATCCGTTAGCCCGCTCGCGACACAGCCAAACTCACTCACACGCGCACATTCTCAGTCATAATTCGGTGGGACCGGACTTTCACGGAGGGCTAGTTCCAGGCCACTGCAGCGTCTCCGGCTCGAACTCCATCTCGGAAGATTTAACTTTAAAATAATCCAACGTTATTACCACTGCCGCTAAAGAGTCAGGACGGAAGTAAGAACCCGGAAGTGAGGAGAATGGGGCGGAGTTGTGACGTAGTCCACAAGAGAGGGAAGTAAATGAACAGTGATACACGGTACAGTACTGTAGAGACAAGTTGAACCATTGGAGTTTACAAAATATTTATGTAAAAATAAATTAAGATTTTTTTTTTCAACAAAATGCTATCTTTCGTGATATTTTGTTTAGAAACAGGAACTTTATAAATGTAATTCTCATTTACGTAAAGAGAAACTAAAAGTATTTCAACTGTTTTCGTATTTTAAAAGAAATCCTAACAATTTATTTAGGTAATCCACTGTTTTTGTAACAATTACTTTTTTAGAGAAACAAGTTTTTGTCACAAAAAAAAAAACTCTCCAAAGTTTATTTCAGACATTAACAAAAAAACAGTTCAAGTTCGACAAGTTCCTTGAAGATGTTTATATGTATGTGTATATAAAGCACGTTTGACTCTCCATTTCCTAGCAACTGAAGAAAGAAAGTTCTTCATTGGTCAAATTCCCCAATGAGGGAGATTGCTACACTGAGTGACATCATCTACTCCTTTTATCTGAATTTGAAAGCTCCTCTGAAGAGTGTTGGAAACTAAAATTTTACAACAGAATGAATGTGCTGAATGCGAAAGGAAAACAAAGTAGTGAAAGGAGAGTGATACATCATCACTGAAACATCGTTCAAAGCCTGGAGATGTCATGAAACTTCTTCCACTGTCCTCAAATCAAAGCAAACATGAAGGTCAGAACTTCCCTGTTAGCAGGTGGGTCCGAGAAGAACCTTTACATGTTCTTTGCCAAAACTCTCCTCCACATCTTCCAGAGAACTGGTTTTCCATCTGACCAGGAGATGGCACCAGGACATATGGAGCGTCTAGTGAGCCAAGTGCTGGAAGGAATGACCTACGTGGAGGGTCGAGTCCCACGTCTGGACAAGGCCAGGGTGCTGGCCGAAGACGTGCTCCAGGAGCTTCGGGAGAAGTTTGGAGACAAGCTGAGCTACGTCTTGCTAGAGCAGTCTCCATGCGTGGAGGCCATGGTGGTGCTGTGTCTGCAGAAACATGCCGAAAAGAGCTTCCAGGAGAACAGGAGCAGTGTGGAGGCGGCAAACTGTGACTGGCAGCTGTGTTTGGCCTCCTTCTGTACAGGTGTCATTGTAGGGATGTGTGGACAAACACTCAACTATTATTCACAGTATTTCTACTGATCACAGCACCAGGGATTGGTCAAAACCTAGTACTGGTGCAGTTTTGGTTTCCGACAAAAATCCATTTGAACAGGAGCAGTGAACCATTAATGTCCCAAGTATCTGCTGAGTGAGGATAATAAAACTAAATGTAATCACATTCTTATCAGTCAATAATGTTCAACACTTGGTTTAAATTTATCATTAGATTATTGGTTCTGGTTCCTGCAGGAGAAACTACACTGTTTAATGGTACCTAAATGATTCCTAATCTAAATATGGATACAATTTGAAAAAAAGTAATCATCACTACTGGAACTTGTAAAGCAGGAACTAGAGAAAGTATCAAGATTAACAGCCAGTCCCACAACCAGCAAGTGAGAAAGTGAGAAAACAAGAGGAACAGTAAAGACAGGAATCAGTAATCTAGTAACACTACCTGGAACCACCACATGTACTTGTATAAGGAAGTTCATATAGTACCAGGACCTGTGTACTTTCCCACTGCAGGGACAGGTCAATAAAGTAAGTCCAAGAACTGTTTTGAGTCCCTTTGTAGGACTGTTGTTTTAAACAAAACAAAAGACCAAACTATTTTTACATTAATATAATATTTTATTTCCAGAAACAAAAAAAACAGTTGACTTTGAATTAATAGACATCCATGAAGCTGAGCAGGAACTTCATCTTCAAAACAGGAACCAACGCAAAGGAGGAGCTGAAACACACACACACACATACACAATTTATAATTATTTATAAGCATATAAAACAAATACCACAATAAATTAAAGTTCTCCATATTTATTTAAAGCATTTTCTGCCAATTCTAAGCTAAAAGATAACCAGTAACAGGCTGACAACAAACCAAATAATTTAGACTAAACGTTATGTAAAAATATCAAACATCAGCCAGAATAAAAAATCAAAAAGTAGATCAAAATCAGACAGAAAAACATTCCTACAGTCATTTAAATATACAGTCTCTCTGTGAAATATATGTTAAAGAAAAAAAGATGCTAGAAACAAAACATAAAAAAAAATCAGAACCAAAGAAGCCAAAGAAGAAGAGAAAGTTCAGGACCAGCCAGAAAATATATGATACAAAAAAGGTCGTCTGTAAATAAATCTAATTTATATTCAACTTGGATAGAGGTAAAAATGCTTTAAAATAAATGAAGATTTGTCTTAAAGATAAACCAACTTTGAGCTAAGAGTTAGCAAAGCACGATGTGACAGGTTGGTGATTGGTCTACTGCCCAATGTTACTTTGGTAAAATATGAACGGAAAGAAAGAAAAAGGCTTTTTATAGTTTTAACCTTAATCAATACAGGTCTCTCATTAAGACCCAAGATCTCACTGTCCAGAGATTAAAAAAAAAAAAAACCTCACCAAAAGTGTCTTCACTCTCCAGAAGGCTGGACGCTCTCAAAGATCCCAGCTTCTTTCATGGCATTGAACTCTTTATCTGAGTCATAGTTTTTGTAGAAGTCAGCGTAGGCCTGCTTCCTGGGCTCTGTCACTGTATACTGTACAGACAGGAACAAATATTAACTAAATGACCAGATTCACTACCATCAATTCTTTCCTGTGTGTTTGCACTTGCAATGCTAACCTTGAATGCAATGGCAGACCCTATAGCCAGAACGAAGGCGATAGGCAGATGTAACTTCAGACGTCTAGCCAGCAGACCCCTCATTACAGGTTTGGGCAGAGACATGATTGATGAATCAGCTACAGGAAGAAGTGGAAACAATTAAACCCTACCTTTTATCAGTTGTCTCCTAGATACTGCTATCGTATTACTGCCAATACACACCGCCAATATTTTGTATCCAATACATAAGAGCTCATGAATAAAACAAGAGAAAGAGTCACTTAAGAGTTTAACTTTGTTTGTTACCATGTAATGTCTACATTTTTGTCCTGGTACCGAGCTCAAATACGGCAATGTGTTTCTTAACACATTTGTATACACGTATTTGTGGATTAAAAGACATTACATTTGTGGTTTCAGTTTCAAACGTTCAAAGTGAACATTACAACAAAAACAGAAGAGCTGTCACGTCATCAATAGACTTCCAGACTAGACTTCACCAATAGACAACGATCACTTGCCTCACAAATTACTTCTTTTAAATAGTTCTTAAAGCTTAACACATAACAGCTACAAATACTAACCTAAATACGTTCAATATAAAAAGTACCGTTCACCTCTAAGACCAAGATATCAAACATATATGGAAAGAAAATTGCGCAATACTGAGCATATACTGGTTAAAAACGTATTTAGGATTAAATAGAAATCAAACGTTTGTATTAGAGTTTCTTCGTGATTCAGATTACCGTTCTCTTGTAGAATAGTTTGTATTAGAGTTTCTTCGTGATTCAGATGACCGTATCTCTTGTAGAATAGCTTTTAAACATGTCTGCAATGAATTCTCAGATGATTCGATTTCTTTAAAGTTTGCGCACGTCACAAAGGACAGCTGTCAAACTTAAAGTTTGCGCACGTCACAAAGGACATCTGTCACCAGTAAGCACTATTAGTTAACAATATGAGTTAACTACGTAGAAACACTCACTAATTCGTTGTAAATATAAACACAGACCGGGCAATAAATGAACTGTGAGACGTCATTGTCAGAAGGGTCACTTCAGGGCATTACATATCCAATAATTTTAACCTAATAGCACTCATGATACTGATTTAAGATAAGCAATGCGATAATATGATGAAAAGCATATAAGGTCTGACGCTACGCTTTAACAAAACAATCTCTTCTTTATTACAAGAACACAGAACGAGGACGCCGCCGCGTTAGCTCCTTGAAGCTAACGGCCAAGCTTCCGATCAAGAACGTTGAATTTCAACCAGTTCAGTAAACCCATAATTACAAAATAAATTCACAAAATGTGGTCGAACATATAATATTTGATGCAAACCATTTGAGAAAGATAATCTGCGAGAATACATACCTGTCTGTAGTCACGACCTTCACGTTAACTGCCGCTACAGGAAACTAAGCTCTCAACCGGAAATAGAATAAAGTAGGACCTACAGTGGCCGTGGAGGGAAAAACAGGACAAACTATACGTGAAAGCAAGGGTTGAATTTATGTCGTAGCAAAAATTGACAAAAACAATGTTAATTTTATTAAATAAAACTGACACACCATAATACATATGCGCATCATTTAAAAATGCAATCACGTTGAAGTTAAACATACGAACGGAAAGGTCTAACATAAAAAAATACTTTTTACAATTAATTTGAATGTTATTTCTCATCGCTCCATATTCGTGTGTTTCATTTACTTTAGCACAATGTCCTTTTTAAATAATTCTCAACGATTACCAGCACACATATAAACCATAACAACTACAAAACTACTTATTTACACAACATGACCACTGGAGGACAGTAGATCACTGCATGAAGTAAACACGGGTTTCTTGCTTCCTGAAGAATCGACACTTATCTCACACAAAATAATACAAACAAAAAACATTTGTAAAAATTAGAGAAGAAATTTTTGATTTATCACGTCCAAAATATATGAAAACATTTTTAAATCCGTAAATTAAATCCAATTGTCCTAAAATTGAACAGGGGGCCGGCTCAAGAGCAGATAGATGAAGCTAAGATAAATAAAAGTCATGCAGGTTAAAATGCTAAAATGCATTTAAAATTGTCTACACCATCTATTGGGGGAATGTTGGTATTGCAAGGTAAAGGCAGAAGTATAATAATATAAATAATTTATATATAATATATCATTATACAACTTGAGGTTTGGAGAGATTGTGACTGAAGGCCAGTGACAACCTTTGGTCAGAGATACTTACTGGCTGCTCAGTAACCGTTGTTAAACTGATATAAAACAGCTCAATAAAAATGGGAGAAAAAAAAAAAAGAACCTCAGAACACACCCAATCATCAAGGCGGCAACTTCAATTATGCAATTTGTTCTACAGAACAGAAACAAAGGAAATTGAGGGGAAGGAAACGATACGGCTGCTCGGAGTGGAGTGTACAGTACACTGACACTCTACACTGACTTTAGATAAACGTGTATCTTTTCTAAAAGTGTATCTTTAATGTCTGGTCTTTGTCTGGATTTTGAGAAAGTGAAAGTGTCACTGTGAAAGGCGGTGATGTTTTCACAGGTCGTTGTTTTTGTAATAAATTGACAAACAGATTTGAAAATCTATGAAAGGATGATGACATTTGCCCTCCTCATCTCCTCATCGTCTTCTCCAGCGTCACAGGTTAAAGGAATACTAACCCCCCCCCTTGATCCAACTTTGTTTCGTAGTGGGCTGTCAAAACAGCCCCCGGTCCAAACGTTTTGTTTCAGTGCCTTAATTGTCAGATTCTCAAATTTCCTATGACACCTGAATGCCCCTCATTGCATACAAGTTACACAATATTATACAAATGGTATGCAATTATTTTGATTTTGAAAAATTCACAACAAATCACCTGTCGACAGCTTAAATTTCGACATGCACCTATTACCCATTTTGCCTATGGGGCTCGGCACTGCACCCCCATTGGTGCGGCATGTACTTTCTGCCTCACCCTGTACATTTTCTTTACGCATGCATGGCCGATCAGAAACACTGTATATGTCACGTACATTCAATGAATATTGTTGTGCTGTTGGTGTCGTTATTATTGTCCTGTTAATCTTGTTAAGTGTTTCATGGCAATTCATGGCACCTTACCGTGCAATTGAGTACTGTGTTACTTCTCAATCAGTTAGAGGACACATTTCATTGTGTGCAGCGGTGTCATATGCACTTGTTTTTAATAGTCATAATGTTCTGTTCATGAGATAACAGATCTGGGTATGGGAGGGGGACTGAGGAGGTGTTGTAAGATCGTGTGTGTGTGTGTGCGGAAGAGGACACAAAACAAAACTTTTTCAAATTTTTACATTTTATTGAAGGCAATTGATCATCCTGATGAAGAAGGAAGCTGTTAAAAGGCCAAAAGGTAGAAAGGTAGACCAAAAACATCACTGCTCAGTCTGTAGTCCAGATGTGTTTACTTCAACTTTGAGAATGCCATGTACCATGTTTGTGTGAAGAGTTTCATAAGTAAAAAAAAAAAAAAAAACTCTCAGAGTGAGCAGTAAGAGAAAAGAGGAAGCAGGTTTATCTCTGTCAGAAAATATAAACGGAAGGCGCGGCTGTATTTGAATCAGACTTGTGTTAGAGAGACAACCACAGAAATGATGAAAATGTGTCTGATTCTACTTGTCTTTTTGTCTTCCTTGATCACAGGTCAGAAACAATTTAATTCAACTTCTTATTTGCTCTGTCCTTAACATTAAACAGACAGACTTTTTAGTTTCGTTCTGTTGTTTTAACTTAATACACTCATTTATTTGTGACTCTTAATCAGGTTAAAACAAAAGGTAATATAAATAAAGTAATTAATTTATAAAAAAAAGTGTAAAGAAGATTTTTATTGAAACTATCTTATTTTGTTGTTTGTTTTTATGAATAACAATAATCAGTGTTTTTTTTTCTTTTGTTATTTATTCTAATAAATCCCTGCTTCTGAAATAAAAACACATTTCTTTTAGATTTTTCTTATTTAAATCTTTAATTTATTTTTGTTTTTAAGAAGCTGTTCAATTTGCATTTTTTCTGGAAATGTTTAACAACTTTATTTAGTATTTATTATGTTAATTCTTTTTTCCTGTAACTGGAAACTTCCTTCTAGGACTCTGGACTCTGTTTGGACCTTTTTTTCTTTGACTCTAACTCCAGTCTTGTTTTGATGCTTAGGGTCTGGAGTCCCAATCCATCAGGTTGACCTCCAACGACTCATGGCTCCAGTTTAAATGCAATTTTTCCAAATCTTCGGATCGGGATCATGCTGTTTTTGAAATTTTGAGCGTCCAAACTAACGGCAGGAAAAAGAATCAGAACCAAGACAAAATAGGTGATAAACTTGGTTTCACTATTACACAAGTCCCAAAAAAGGAATCTGGGACTCACAGCTGTGTAGGAGCAAGTCAGTACCTGAGAACTGAAGGTAAGTGGGACTGATTCGTCTCGGATTCTAAAGACTTAACTCAGACTAATATGTCTGTATATATATGTTTTGACTCTTTTGTTGTAATTAGAACTTGATTACTGGGTATGTTATATCAACTCTGACTCAAGAATAGGACGTGAGTCTTCTTCAAAGACTTAGGTTTGACTTGCTATGTGGACTTGACTGGGACTTCTTTGGTGACTTGGAATTGCTGATTGAGTCCTCGTTACTCACTCCAGACTACCCTTTGGAATTCATTGAGTAACAAATCCAGGTGTGAACTCAAAATTGATTCAACTTTTAGTGACATGGAATGACATAGACTTGAACCCAATCCTTATATTCAGTGTTATCTTGGACTGGGCTTTGGTCGGATTCAGACTGGTCCTTGGTGCCTTAAAGATCTGGAACTGGACTCTTGGATGTGTTAGGAGCTTAATTGATCTCGTAACACATTACCAACCAAGCGGTCAGTTCCAGACTCCCCTTTTTTTCCTTCTCCTCAGCAGCTGACGAAGACTGTCAGAGTTTGTTTAAACAAACAGCCTACACTGGGAATAAAGCTACCATCACATGTAGGTACCCACGAAACAGGGACAAGTCCAGATTCTGGTTTTTATGCAAAGACCGGCGTGGAACCTGTGAGCAGGTGTTACCTTCAGCCATGACCAAGGGGAACTTCACCACTTTCACCCGAAACGGTACTCGTCTGTCACTTAACAACGTGTCCATGGGAGATTCTGGATTCTACTGGTGTGGAGTCAGAACTAATTCTGGACTCAGTGTGAGAAGAATCCAACTTGTGGTCCAAGGCCGTGGTCAGCGCAAGGACAAAGGTCAGTTTCCAAAAAAATCCAGCAGATGGTGGTGTTCCTTGACTGCTCTATAAAGATGTTACACAGAAACCCCCCCCCGAACAGTGCATGTAACAGGGCTGGTTAGACTAAATCTCAAAAGCAGTTTTAAAAAGTGGGCAACTGGACTCACCTCAAGTAAATTGAAGACGTTTCGCCTCTCATCCAAGAGGCTTCATCAGTTCTACTGTCCCGGTGGGGAGTTTCCAGGTATTTACCAGGTATTTACCTATGGTGGGGTGTAGTGTCGAAAAAAGTGGCCCAGGGCTCAACAACAATATGACCTTTAAATGGTCGTGTGAGTCGGTGGCCCCATGTTGGATCGTTCCCCCTCTGTGTCCTCTGGGTGGGGGTCGTTGGTAAAACTGCTTTTGAGATTATTACGATGACCTGGATGACTGAGAATATCCACAAGTACAGGGGAGACTTCAGGGCCAACGCTAACATTAGCTCTGGGGCTAACTCCCGTCACTTTGTGCTTGTCCACAGCAGAGGTAAACAGGTTGTTTTTTTTATTGTCAGCCACACCGACCACAACAGAACAAAAACAGTGTTTTAACAGCTTCAACATGACAGGGCTCAAACTGCTCTCAGCTTACGCTACCGTTCTCTTGCGCGCGAGCGCACGCGCACGCAGCCGTTCACAGACAGACATACGCTACTAGTATAACACACAGTAGCCTACCAGAAAAGTC